TTTTGCACACGACCCTAAACAAACTTGAATCGCTGCCAAGTATTTACCTGTGTAGTCAGCATAAAAAAAACGTAGGTCTATCGTATTTTTTGCACAGGGCCCTTACAGATGATGCAACAGGTATAAAAGTCGCTGACAAAATCGTAGTAGCAGCAGCGTATAGTGTATAATGTAAACACAGTGTAAACACACCCCGTATTTAGGGGGATTATATGTAATAAATTGACCTGGCTATCCCCCAGGGGCTGCACTCAGTTGACCCACCTATCCCCTCCAGGGGCTGCACTCAGTTGACCCACCTATCCCCCCCAGGAGCTGCACTCAGTTGACCCACCTATCCCCCTCAGTGGGATGTCCTAGATATTGACCCACCCATCTAGGCTCCTTATACTACTTTTGTAATAAATTTATTTTTTATTATTTATTTTAGATTCTTATTACTTGTTTGTTTATTTACTTTTGCTTGTCAAAAAATTATGAGACTTAACATCTGTGAGATTTGATGCCCCCCCCCCCCCCGCCCCCCCTGAAAAAAAAATCTTGGATGTCTGTGCTTACATTATCCCCTATAACTTTTTAAAAATTATCTTAGGTCCTCACTAATAAATTAATACTATACTAATTCATTCCTACTATGGCTACATATTTTTGTCCCTGCACAAAGCCGTACTAAGGAATTGGAAAGCTTTTATTTTTCTATTATTTCTGTTGCCACAAGAATAGGAATCCATAGCAACTAATGAAATAATCACCGGTTTCAGTTTGCAGACACGTTTATGCATGACTTTCAGAAAATTTCAAGATAATATTCCTGGCAAATTTATTTTAAGCATAAATGGAATGTCTATTCAAAAGGAAATTTACTGGCATTTTTGAACAAATATTGGGTTTTTTTGAAAATCGAAAAAAAATGATGTTTGGACAAATATATTTTTCTAGAGTTTTGATATATCAAAAGGCACATTATAAATAACAATATTCCACTGGAATAATTTCTGTTGCAATTTGTTTGAGGTTTGGGTGTTTTTGAGCTAGATTGACTGGACTATTGGGTTATTTTGACCGTAGTTTTAAACAAATTTCAGGCAACTGCAAGTCCTTATTTTGAGAGATATCAATGTTAAATTTTATGATTTGAATGTAGATCTGCAGCTATTTTGGGAGATTATTTTATTGCAACCTAATTTGTAAGATTTACAGGTTGTTATAGTTAATTTCATTTTGTTTTCCGCTTGATTTCTGGTACTTAGTTTTTTCCAGTTAGCCCCCCTCTTCTCTTTTAAAATTCTTTTTCAAAGTCATTTTTTAATTTCTCCCTCTAATCTTGAAAGTTAACATTCCTTAAGGTCAAGATCTAGTAAATGAACTTAGAATGAATTTTCAGTGCTAAATCCATTATGACGTCATAATCACTTTCAACTTTCTTTTTCTCGTACTTTACGGCTCTAATAGAATTATGTAGAAAATAAAGTATTTTCATGGAATTCAATTTAAAATCACATGAAAAAAAGTCCCGATACCTATCTTAAATTTAACAATATTTTAAAGTAGAGACTAAGAACATGCAAATAACCGTTTTCTGAAAAACTGTAGGCAATCTGGATACATTTTCTTTGTCTGATATGGAAAAAACTCCCATTTTCAATACTGGTTTTCTTAATTTTTCATTGAAAATGACAGTTTAAAATATGGTTTTTCATCTTGTTTTTCTACAAATTAATCCCCGAAACACATTTTTTGACCAAGCTAATGTTATAAAACATCATTAAAGGAATTAATTTCTTAAATTTCAAAAATCTGTAGGCACCTTCCATTTACTAGATCTTGACCTTAAACAAATAGTTATAGAAGCAACATTAAAAGCTATGCTGGCAGACATTGCTTATAATTTGGTGTCAATCTATAGTGGAAAAAACAATTCAAGTATACATGTACACACACTCAACTAATTAATGCAATGCAAAGGTGATTGATATACCTGATACACTGGACTGTGAATCTGTGATGATACTTATATTCAATGTCTGGTTTTCCAAATGATTTAAAGATAATTTTCTGTGCTTTTCTATGACTTGTAGTCTTGTATTTGGGTCCATGTCCACGAGAAGCTCCGACCGAGTTTCCTTTTTTTTGTTCACATGCATAGAACCTATTCTAGTTTGCATTTGCCAGGTTTCGAAGCAGTATGAAACAAAAAGAAATTTATTAATGTCAATGACCAACATTACATCACTGTAAAACAATACAAAGGTATAAGTAAACTATTTTTAGTATAACCGCGTGCGCGTCGTCTGCTTTGTAAAATGTTTGAATCCAATCTAATCCGTCATAATTAATGCATATCAATAGTAATAACAGCGTTAAAATGGTTGAGAACAATGCATAAATAGAAAATCATACGATTTTTAAAGTTACAAAACAACATTTCATGTATTTTATTGCAAGCAATTGTTATGCGTCTTTACGGTTTACCTTATAAAGGTTCAGGAGAAAGGAATGTGAAGAACAAACCCGAGATTTTATATACTACACTTGATATGTCAATCAAACCCGACCCTTAAAAGCCAACGTTCAAATAATAAATACTTGGGACCTATAAACTAGTATATAGGTCCCTTCAAATATACTTTTCTCGTAAAATAAAGGCATATATTTTATATACACAAATAGATGCTAATATGTTGACGGTGCGACCGTTAGAGAGCGAGCGCAAACTCTTCTATTGTTTTTGATTTAGATGGGGCTCGTCAAACCGCACGTGACATTTGGTGCGTCTAGACTCTGACGTCATATGACATGTAAGTTACAAATACCAAGAAAAAACTGAACAGTGCTGAAAGTTAATGAAAAAAGTTACGTTTACTATTTATCTTCAATATGTATCCATTTAATCAAGGCGAGTAAACTTTTTGTTGAACATTTGCCGTCATTCTCGCGAGAACGCAACTTTACTAAGTGATGCATTCTTGGTCAAAATTACTGCGGCAAAAAATTTTAAAGAATTAATGTGCAGTAGTCCGAATTTTCTCTTCGCTCAGGCGTTGTCGTTAGAGCTCGCAGTTACGAGCGTCGCTTCGCGACGCTCGCTGCGCTCGCTATTAATAGCAACTATTGATTATTTTATTTTATTTTGATTCGATAAAACGTTTAAGCAAGAGAAAAAAAAAATGAGAAAATTTTTAAAAGATTAGAGCTACCTGCATTCGACTCAAAGCTATTGAAAACATTGATTATGCACCGACTTTCTCTAGTGAATAGAATAGAATAGAATATCATTTATTTCCAATTTTGGGCCCATGAAGGGCATTCAAGAAAAATACAACATAAATAAAATATAAAGCTAAAGAGAGGAAGAGATCCAAATGATAGTTGAATTCATATGCAACAATGAATATGTATAATATGTGATAAAAGTACACAAACGCAAATATTATGCCACATCATCATGCATAAATTTTAGTGGATATCTACCTTGTCTGCATATTATATCATTCTCGACTTTCAGGACATCCTGAGACAACATTGGATCTTTTATTGTAACATTTACTAAGTGATGCATTGTGGGTCAAAATTACTGCGGCAAAAAATTTTAAAGAATGAATGTGCAGTAGTCCGAATTTTCTCTTCGCCCAAGCGTTGTCGTTAGAGCGTAACATTTTCACTAGTGTGAAAACACGGTTACAACTTGGAATGCAGCTTTCATAATGAGAAGCATGTTGTTAGAAATCAATTTGGAGCTCTTCATTTTGCGAAATAGAAAAAAACAATAATGTTAATAAATGGTTTAATCGGTCGGTGAATACTCCGAATAAACAAAACAACAAAACGCATTTACAAACTTTCCAAATCTCATATTTGAGAAACTGTATAGAAAACTGTGATCATTAAGAGAAAAAGATGCAATAACATGATAACAGTTTTATCAATATCAGTAGTTTATAATTCGGCATATATTACTATTGCCTCAAAATGCTTGGTTTCTTAATAAGCAAAAAATATAGTAAATCGATAACTTCTGCCAATCTAGGCTAACAATATAATAATATAACAATAACTTATTTAAAAATTAACAACAAAATTAAATTGAAACTCGAGCTGTTGTGATGTAGAAGTACATGAGATATCAGTTTATATTAATTAGGCCTTTCAACTGCCGCTAGGGGTCGGTGTTATGAACGATAACTCACTGCTGAAACTTGTTTAGAGCAAGCTCGGGGTATCTAACTGTTTACACACAAGGCAGTTTTTAGCATTTCCCAAGTGTTTCTTTGCTCTCGGTAGAATCCAGTGGTTTTAAAATTTAGCACCAATGTTAAACTTATTTACTGTTAATTTGCAGACACCGGTTTACTCCATATAATTAAAATTTTTAATTAAAATAAAAAGTGAAATCTACCCTCCTTCTCAGTTCTAACCTAATTAAATTTTTATACTCGGTCGTTCCCCTTCGTGCTTAGTAACACAAATAAGATGATCAATTGTTGCATTTACTTGTAAATATATATATATATTTACACAGGAAGCGAAAAAGCGCGAACACAAAAAACATGACATTAAATTTTCTTCTTCATAATAGTCGTCAAAGAGAGTTAAAACTATTGAATATAGTCTGTTCCCCATTCATTTGACCCTGTTATTTCAGGCAGAGTGAAGGCATTCTCTTTTTCTTGGTCAAACCTTTTTGTGTACAAAACAATGTAAGGAACCCTTTTGTGAATATAACAATACCAATGCTGAAGCAGCCTATATGTCATTCCTATTAACGATAACTCATAAATCGGCACTAAGTTGGTCACATTTTTCACACCTGAGTTACCTGTCCTTAAACACAACATCGGAAAAGTCAATTATAAATGATTAAACCTTTTAATGATGCAATTAAATGTATGCATAAGTTATTATCTTTTTTGATAATTTCATGTACCTATAAATCTATCTATACAATGTTTTTTACCATATGTGCAACTTGAAAAATTAGTTGAAAGGCCTATTAATTAATGGCGCACAGTAGACATAGGATAAACGACAGACAAGAAGTAAGAACACAACCATGATGTGACAGGACATTTCCTAAAAATCTCCATGAATGAAGCATAAAATTCATAATTCTACGTCTTTGGCACTTGTACAAAATGCCAAAGCAAAAGGCAACAATTTCAAATGGAAAACAAGGATACCAAACCAGTACCAATTTCCACCCAGCATGGCCCAATCCCCATAGTATAGGTCATTATAACATACAAGTGAAATAAAAGAGATAATCTAATAACAAATGAATCTTGGCAAAAATCCCTGAATAAGAAATCCTGCGACACTATATAATATGTATGATTTAATTCAGTGACAATGGATGTATGCAAAGTATAACTTTTCACAAAATATTGAATAACATTTGAGCAATATTTACAAAGTTATGACAAACCCTTATTAGCTTTCAACAAAAGCTTTTCAATAAATGAATACTGATTAATAATGAGATCATATTTGTTAAAACTGACATAAAACATACATTTACACCAGAACATTTGAGCTTTGACTCGCTATAATTAGAATTGGCAGGGAATATTGGAGTTCTCCGGTTCCTGACATCAACTGAACTCCTACTGGTTTCAGATCATTGCTAGGCCAAGTTGAATTTGTTGTAGCCGTCGAAGTGGGGACTACTGTCACAATGTGTTCTGTTTTACCACACAAAGGCAGTTCTGTAGAGCCTGAAATAAACAGTACTCCTCCCTAATTTTCCTTATTATTCTTTGTACCTTTGATCAAATTAGTGAAATTAAGTTATGGGGTTTTTAGTAGATTGATAGCTACTTTTAATTTAATAATCAAAGTCCATGCCTTTTACATTGTAGTTGGTAATGAAATGTAAATCATTGGTTTCACTAGCAGTTAAAGTTAAAACAGTCCAATAAGTTTTTCGAATTCTCTTTCACTTAAAATTGAGTGTGTCAAAAATTTGTTTTAAAACTAATTTGATGAAAACATATACATGTATACGAATTAAGATACGCCGGGAAAGAATTCTATACGAGAAACACCAATTCCTGTTGGATAATTTGAAAGTTTCTTACATGACATTTATTTTAAATATTCATTTTGAATTCGACGTGAAATACGTACCAAAATTCTCAGAGTTTACTGCATCCTTACTACATTTGTAGGCATACTGCTTATTTTCACTATAAGTGACGCATTCCATTTTTGTCCTGTCACAGTCTTGTAAAGCAGTAAAAACTGTGGCATTTTGTACTCTATCACATATTCTCACCATCTATATGTAACATTAGAAAAAAAACTTCTTTTTTAAAATTATTTATTTTACTTTAAATTATTAAAAGAATGTAAAATAATGCTAAGAAAATTTTTTTAAAAAAAAATAAATTTAGTGCCTTTTGCATGTGATTCTCACAAAACATTCCGGTATAACCAGGTAGACAATCACACTGTATATTGGGAGCCATCACATTTCCTGTTATGTTACAATTTAAACTGCCACCATTGATACACGGTCCCTTGTTGTTAAGGCTGTATTTCTCACAATCTGAACCTGGTTATATATAACTAAGTTACATGTACAGCTCAACGCACTTTTTAAACTCACATGGTTTTTCGCACAAATTAAAGTCACATTTTTCTTGCAATAAAACTTTAAATTATCGACCTTCAGTACGATACATAACCCTTATATTATTAAATATATTATTTTAAAGGCGCATATTCTCTAAAATCATTATCTTAAGTTTTTAAAAGCTCAATCTTTAAAAATGGAATTTGTTTATAAATTGTGTGTTGTTACATGTGTATGATTCTACTGTAGGTGTTTACAAATGAATTAATCAAGCTTTCTTGTTACTATTTATTTGAAATGCTCAAATTGATTTCTTACAGTTGAGTACTTTGCTAATTACTTTGCACATTTTCCATACTTGTCTTGGTTTTGTCGAAATACAGCACCGAAAAATGACAAAACTGCATAAAGAAACCATTCAAAGGATAGGGTAAGAAAGTATTGTTTATCTTTTAACATACTAGTAAATTGTTAGTTTTGAAAAGAAAATTCTTTTACATTCACGGTCTGAAACATTGAAATTTTGCTTTGGAAAGTATCTTTCATGATGCTAGATTTCAGAAAGTTAACCTGAAAAAATACCATCATTTTAACATGGAAAGCAGTCGAACAGATGAGAAATATTACTATCATCTTGCGTCTTAGTGTCATATTCATCTACAGAGAATGCAGAAGTTACATGAACAGTATTCTGTATCAAGCAAAGGCAAATATATGCTTTAAAATGAACTGATACAAAAAACGGCTGCATTTTACGAGATATCATGAAAAAGCATTTGGAAACTCATATTCTATCATCCAAGAGCATATAAAAATCTTACCAATTATTATGTTTGAATGATGTTTAAAGTAATGGAATAAGATCAAAATTAAGTTATAAATCACTTTAGAAACATATTTTGTTGTCACGTTACACAATTTTGCATTATAAGAATGTGACCTTAAACCATGTTTAAAAAAATTGTTGAGCTGTATGTATAGTTTTATAACTGTATAATAATTAAACATTCAATTAATTGATGTTTTCTTAAAGAAAAATCATAATAAGTTAGATACTGTATAAATTCAGGTTAGAAATTTGGTTAAAAGATTGCAGACTATAAATTCTCTGCTCATTCTCTTACAATTAAGACTCATAACACTGTCTGATTTCTCACTGGAAGGACAAGCCGTATGATCGTGGTGTACTGCTTCCCAAACGTTATGAAATGTACAGACGCACTCTGGTTTGATGTATACGTCACTGTTACCACACTGTAAAGCTTTTTGTCCTGCATGTGGAATTTTGAATATCATGCAAAGAATGTTAAAAGATAATGTACAATGATCATTCTTTAAATCCAGTAAACAAAACGAATCGTGAAACAAGGAAAAGAAATTCATTTCTCTAGTAGTTACATGTATATACATAGAAATAAGACAAATGCACATGAATCGAACATACTAGTATACAAACTTTTGTTTAGCTAACTTGAGCTAACGAATGTTCGAAAAGGAAAATGACACATAATTTTGAGAACTGGCTTCTCTCTTAAATATATATGTGTATTAGATTAAACTTTAAAAAAATATTTCTTATATTTTATTAAAGTAACCATTAATAATATTACCTAGATGATATTTAAAGATGATGTTTTTAATGTGTAAAGAGGGAATTAATGCTCTATACTGAGCAATATTTCAGCGAATTTGGAAATCAGAATACAGAAAACAAAAACTTTTTTTTTTACTTTGCTAATATATCTATAAAAGGAGTTCATGGAAATACAGGATAAAATTTAAAGAGAAACAAACTTAATACCTACTAACCTTGCCACTGAGGGCTAATTTGACGACATTCCTCATCGTTGTTTTTAAGGAAAGCTGGAACTGAACAAAATTCATACAGTACAAACACTTTTTCTAATGAAATATAAAATGACAGAACGAAGGATATGCAATGAAAGTGTTGTACTTGTGCTAGAATTTATGGAATTTGTTTTATATCTTTACGAGTGTGAAACACGAGTAAAGATATAAAAAATATGTTGGTGAGTTCTCAATTAAAACTTTATAATTTGATTTTTAAAAAAATCAGCTTTATAAATTCACATAACGTGCTAAAAAGTATTTACCTGGTGGGTAATTAAGCCCTTGTTTATCTTGTATTATGATACATTTCACTGGTCCATCTGCAAAATAATTTTTTTTTTAAAAATGCCAAGCCAATGTGTTAAGTACATCAAAATTGTAATGCAAAAATTTCTTGACATTAGACATAGTATTTAACTTAAACATACAACTTGAATTATTATTATCTAATGCTACCATTTGAAAAATAATTCAAAAGACCTCATACATAATTGAAACATAAAGAACCATAAAAGACTGATTCCATTCAAATCAAATGAATATAATAAATTTTAACAATACAATGTACTAACGTAGGATGTTTATATATTTTACCTAAGGTTGGCATGGAATAAACATAAGACGTAAAAATATACACCAGAGCAACAGTGATCGACATTACTTCTATTTAATCATTACTGAAAACAAAAAGAAGAGAGATTAAAATATTTTAAAATATGTATTAAGCATCAATTCATTCAGAAACACGAGCTTGTTAAATTTTAAAAGAAAGATTGTAAAAGTACTCACATAAGTAATCTTCATAACCATGATTCATATCTTAAAGAAGAAAAAAAAGTTTATTTTGTCCACTTCTCTACAGATATTGTAAACTTTAAAGTTAATCTATATTACCAATTTATGAAAAACACAAAACATTATTTTTATTGTTCACATATTACAGGAGATTTGAATTGATTCTGATTTCTTTCTTCTCTATCTACTCTCAAATGTATATTTCTGTTGTTTATAATTATGCTTCTTTTGAGAGAATCACGACATTGAAAGATTAACTTCCTTGTCTATTTGTTTGTATACGTTCGTGTTCAAAATTTTCACTCATATAGACGCCACCATTGCCTTTGCATAAAGGGACATTAAACACGAAGTAATTTTATTTCGTGTCGGAACCTACTGCGACGCGGGACCTCGGATTATTCGGTCTCATCCGAATGAACCGGTCTCCACGACCCACAGTGGGATTCGAACCCGCGATCAACTCAGGACCCACTCCGCGACTCTAGAGCAGACGCTTTTACATCTTCAATTAATTAGCGATAATTAATTCGTTTAATTCTGCAGTATGCAATTTACAAAAACATGACAGACCCGTGGAATATTTTTTATTAAGCTTTGAAACTATTACCATATCGTTTCATTTTGTTTTTAGATAAATTATGATAAACATTTTTAAAAACAGGACCACAATAATTTACAGTTGTAAATGCTAGTACTATGTGAATTGAAGGTAAGCACAGGATTTTTCCCCCTCTTTTTCATATGAATGTTTTTGAATAAAAAAAATCCCCCTTATCTGCTAAATCTCCTTATCTCCTTTAAATAAATTTCATAGATACATGTATAATATCTTCCATTGATAAATGTTTATATTGATATATTTACTTTAAAGATAATATCATTGAATGGAAACAATATTGTCAACTAAAAGGATTAGTCATCAGCATGCAAAATTGACAAATTTATATTTATTACACGTTCAATGAGAACTGCAAAGCAAACATCAAACTGAAAATACAAAGAAATTTTAATACTTACCTGTTTCAGATTTGCAAATTTACCTTTATCTTCATTAAAAAAAAAGTTGCACAACTATAATTTACAACATAAAAAACTGGCAATTCTCCAGTGATCTATAGGTTTAGATATTATCTTGCAACCATAGGTATGCATATTATAATACTGATAGGTGTTAGTTTCCATAAAGTGAAAGAAAGCACATTATATTTTACTCGCTTAAACTTATTGACCACAAAATATTTATGAATGTCACATTTGAAAATATTTAATTCTTTTTTTAATAACACTGCAGTGTATTACTTAAATATCGGTAACTTTCTTGCAGTGGTAATCATGCACTCTAGATAATCTAGGTCAAGTATGTTTACAACATGATCGATGAAAACAAAGTTATGTATGCCATATGTTTTAAAATCATTATCATATTATTATTACTGTCTTACCTTTTATATTAACAGGGTTTAACAAAAACAACAAAAACAACAACA